GCTTCTTTCACATGCAAGAGATTCTAAAATAAACTGCCTAGACACAACGTCTGCTCTACCTCTTCTTCCTTCTTTTAATTCTAGATTTAAAAAATTCTTTTCATGAGTAGCATAATCTTCTCTCCTCCACATTTTTTGTGCCCTTGATAAAATCTTACTAACTTACTATAGGTAGTAAGACATTAGTCAGCTTTTTACAAAATGTACGTGTGTGTGTGTATATATATATAATACACATAGATGCATACAGATGCATGCTATGGATGTAACAAGTACAAAATAATAATATAATAACAATAACAAAATAATAATGAAATAATGATCAAGTAATAAACACAGTCAAAAGATCATTAAGGAAATCTAGCCCTCCAAAGTTCTTTAGGAGGGATTACTTAAAAAGAAAATAAGTCAAGTTGGTTCAGTGGATAAAACGTTGTTCAGTAAATGGAATAAGAAGACAGAACGACCTAATTTTCTAGCCTGAGGGACTATCATATGCTAGGAAAGGCGCTGAGTTAGAAATACATCCCCCATGGCCTTTTTCACTTCCAAGATACCATAAACAAATTAGCCTAGCTAAAGTTTAATAGAATGATAAGGAAATATTTATGTAAAAATGTGGTACCATGCTAGATCTTAAAATGAAGAAGATACCATTTGAAGAAGATGATTCCAACTACTCTTTTTATGATGAACCACAATGAGGAATATTTAAGAAGGAGTATAGAAAGGACATTCCTGTTTAACTCAGTACAAATCAAATGGGCCAAGTTGTGGAAGAGAAAAAAATAGAGTTTTGGAAAGTTTTCCCTTCTGAAATAAATTTATTTGTATATTGCTGCTTTCCAGTTCACATTTAAATTTCTTTGTCTGGTTTCAAGCCCTCAGAGTCCTTTGCTTCCCTTGCATCTGCCACCAGCAGCTCCTGCCTCATTCCCACCAGAAGAAAAACCAGATAAACCCTTTTTATCCTCTTGCTCTCTCTTCAACTTCTTTATTTCATGTATTATTCAATGTATGCATTAATATGTATGTATTATTATTCAACTTATTACATATTTATATATTATTCAGTTTTATTATTATTCAGCTTATTTTCAACATAATCTTTTTATGTATGATTCTTCCTGCTTGGGGGACACTAGATTGTGAAAAGCTTGACATTTGTTTTTCTCCACAGAAAGGTCACTTAAGACCATCTTTCCTATGTATCCATTCCTCAAACATTTTTTTTTTTCTGTAGAATATGAGAGCACTAAACATAGAAATGATATCATTTTTCAGTTTGGCATGAGGTCTGTTGGACTGCAGACATTAAAATAAAATTAAAGTAATCTGAGTTTGATTCATGCTTAAAATGTAATAGCTAGTGACTCTATCTTTACTTCTCCCAGATAATTGACCTTTATTTTTATTCTCTCTTCGGGCCAGAGAGGTTTTTTTCTCCTTTATGAAAGAGGAGGGGGCTCATTATGTGTCACCTCAAGTATAGTGTATTCTACATGCTGTACACCAATATATTTTTATTGATTAATGAGCCCAATTGATTTCACAGTGGCAAAACAAAGGCAGTTAAGGCTACTTTGTAATACTACCAGTCTTTATCTGTTTCTAAAAAAAAATTGTTTCAGTAGAGACAGCGGACCTTCACATTCTTATTTTTACTTGTTTTAAGGTAATTTTGTTGTTTAAAAAAGAAGGCAGTTTGTGGTCCCTTTTACAATTTGAAGAGTGAATTTTACTATTTCTTTAGTGCTGGCCTCTATAATTCCTCTGTGTGTTTTGAACATGAAGTATCATTACTCAGTATATGCCTAAAGAAAACTAGAAAAGTAAATGGATCTATAATAATTACCCAGTAAAGCCAAGTGTATCATTTTGACTAAGAAATTGCAAAGGCTTCATTTCTCAAAAATTACATAATCACCTATATTGTTGAACTTCTCTGTACAAACACCTCTGATTTATGGGCCCTTTATGAAAAGAGGCTCACATAAATTCACATGGGTTTAATGAAAATCCTGAAATAGTTATAGTAGTTGCAATAGCCTTTGTTGATCTTCTCCAGAAATGACATAACCAGAATGTCATTCTGCTTCCCAAACTATGGTCATATTTAACTTCCCAAACTATTCTGCTTCCCAAACTATGGTCATATTTAACTGCTTTTAAAGATGTACAGTACATGGTTTATTGCTTATAGTATGGAGTCTTTAGAAACTCATTTACTTAGGTTAATTTTATTCAAAATTTATATTGAAGCACAATGTAAACTGTCAATAGAAACTTACGTTTCTTTTGCTAAGAGTTAATTTTAAATTAAAAATTTGGAATGGAAACTTATTACATCACCTATCAAGTGAGGGATGGAAAAAGCAGTTCTTTCCACCTCTAACAATCTGCATGTTTGTGATTAACTTACAGCAGGCCAAAACGTATATTTGTGGTGTTGCCTTTCAAAATCACATAGCTCTTAAGTGAAATCAACTATTATTGTTGGCATTTTTCAAGGTAACTTTGCTGAAATGAACTTCCTTTGTCTATTTTTTAAATAGTTTTAAAATGTCTCTTTTTGGTAGCAGTATTAATTTTGTGGTTTCATTAGCAAAATGTGTCTTTCCTTTTTGAGAGAGATAGTGTAAGGAAATGGTACACTGACTCATCAAAGTTCTCATAGGTTAGTGACAACCAGTTAGTCACAAATTGTAGCTTAAGGCTACAAATACTCCTGTCATTTTTTCATAGATTGTGACGTCTGCTATGGTTACAGTAGTGTATCTATTCTTTATATGCCAGTGAACTGAAAGCATATATTTAATTTTATCAGATGCCTTTCCCAGAATTTAGGTAATTTTTTAAATGGTAAAACAATGACAACTAGTTTCTTGTATCAATAGCACCATGAATTTTTTTCTCATGTCAAAAAATTTATTAATTAAAAATACAACTTGTAAATATATTTTATGTGTGATAAAGTCTTGGTGTTTTTTTAAATAAAATTTTCTCTCTTTTTAGAGATACAAACTGAAATATTTATAGGTGGAATTATATGATTCCTGAGATTTGCTTCAAAGTAAGACAGGGGGAGGGAGTATAGATGGGATAAAGATGAAATAATTGAATAGTTGAAGACGTTGGGTGATGAGTGCCAGAGAAGAATTACTATTCTGTATACCTGGTGTATATTTAAAGTTTTTGATAATGGAAATCTCAACTTAATAGCTCATGATTTTTGGAACGTTTTACTCTACATTCATAAGCCTCTATAAAAATCAACATTATTTAAGATGTTGAGAAAAGGGGTACATCTCCTTGCCATCTGGGCTTTCCTCCTGAATCCCCCCACTCAGACTACCTGCATGGTACAACCTCACAGTCACCCAAGACAATGACTTTCTAAACTAGTTATTTGTTGAATTGGGTCAGTTCTGTTGAAGTATCTATTATTACATTAGCTCTATCTGTACTCTTCTTCCAAGTCTCAATATTTCGGCAGTATAAAATATTTGTGGGATGAATGAATGAATGAATAAAGCCCTGAATACTTCTTCTGTCACAGCACTTTTTACATTGTTTTATGATTCCTTCTTAACTTGTCTATATCCCCTCTCTAGATATCAAGTTTTACAGAGGTCGAAGCAAATCTAGGTCACATCATGTCCCCAGCAACTAGCACAGTTTTGGCTTATATTAGACCTTCAGTAAATATCTATGGAATGACTATATTAATTAATCTTCTTAAGTAATATCCAGGATGGCTGTCTTTATTTCAACTAATTCATCTTCCCTGTAGTTTCTGGGGGGATTGCTCTACACAGCAAATGTGACCCTATTTTGCTCATCTCAGGAGTGTTTTCTTATCAGAGTAAATATTTAGACATTTATACACGAAGTCCGTGACCACTCATTGTGCAGGTCCTGCAGGCTGTTCACTTCCTCCCTCATCTTTGTACTTGTTGAAGTACAGACTACATATACTACTTACATATTTTATGCCTCCCATCTTCAGAACATTTCCTCTTCTGGAAATGTCACCCCCATCCAGGTTTTACACACGGCATCACTTCCTTAACCTGGGGAAGCTGAGGTGATCCATGCCGAAGCATGTTGGCAAGCGTTTTCTTCTTATCGTTTTTCTCTTCACTAAGAGTAAATATCCCTACAGCAGCCATTGCTTTTTAATTTTTTTGTAACATCCTCCCTTCAACTAGCAAATAGAAGAACTCTATAAATATCTCCAGAATGAGCAAATTAGGGAATGTCCTTTTTGCTAAAGAAATAATGTTATTGTTCTTCCGTTGCTAAGTCGTGTTCAGCTCTTTGCGACCTCCTGACTGCAGCACGCCAAGCTCCCTGTCCCTCATGACCTACCTGAGTTTGCTCAAACTCATGTCCACTGAGTCACTGATGCCATCTAACCATCTCATCTTCTGTTGCCCCCTTCTCTTACCGTCAGTTAGTCGGTTCTTCCCATCGGGGGGCCAAAGCTTCAGCTTCAGCATCAGTCCTTCCAGTGAATATTCAGGGTTGATTTAGTTTTTCATAAAAAAGTGTTATATTAATGATACACTTACCAGCATACTCAAAGGTTATTTTTCACTTTTGCACCAGGTTTTCTTCTATTTTCTTCCATACATAGTCAGTCCATCAAAAGACAAACCCCTGAATTGAATACACTTATGAATGAAATGCTGAGGTTAGAGAAGACCTAGATGTGAACCAAAGGACCAATGGATGTTAAGTTCCAGATTCATTTAGTAGTTGGAATAATTCTGATGATACTTTTAATGAAGCTTTGTGTTAGCTTCAGTGGAGATTGTTTCTGACAGATATTTCAAAACTCCAACATAGCTGGGTCTTCGACTCAGAGTGTATTTTGTAAAAGAGCCAGACATACAAAAATCACAGGACATTGGCAACTGAGATCTCTTACTAGGTTGGTATGAAACTTGTAGCTTGAGAATGTCATAAAGCTTGGACTTTCCTCTCTTTCTCTGCAGATATGTCTTCTCCGACTACTATGAAGAAGCCCGAAAAGCCATTGTTCAGCTCTACATCTCCGCAAGATTCCTCCCCAAGATTGAGCACTTTCCCCCAGCACCACCATCCCGGAATACCTGGAGTTGCACACAGTGGTGAGGAGTTTCAAGCATAGAGGAGAAACCTCCCTCTTGTTTGCAGAGTCCAAAGTCTTGAGGATGGATCAAGACTATAATCACAAGAAATAAGCAAATATATAGTTATCTTAACAGTAGCTTCCGTATTGGTCCTAATTCTATATATTTTACTAAGAGAAAGATGGAATTTCAAGTATACTGCTGAGTCCAAAATATTTCTAGCAGCATTGATGTATAGATTCTATTTCCATAGATTTTATCTTCTCTATAGAAATCAATATTTTAACTACTTGTTTGGGAGCAAAATTAATCAGAAAATTAAGAGACATTTTGACAACTATTTTATATATATAAATCCTCCCTGTGGGCTAGTACACTTGATATTATGTTTAATATCATAATTTAAATAGGAAAAAGAATCCAATATTTCACATTTATACTTGGAAGAATGATTCACATCAGATGCTCTTTCAAAATTAAAAACGAGATATAATTCATAAGCAATATTGCATACTTTCTTCCTATTGCTCTTAAGCCCTAGAGAGGAGTAGGCGTACTTTAAGGTGAAGAAAACTTTTTATATAAACAATAATATGTTCATAGTGATACTCTTATTGCTTTAAATATATGGTGAGGCAACTCCTTATTCTTCCAAAAAATGAATCTAGGTTTTAAACCTTTATTCAAGGGATATAGCAACTGTTTACAATAAAATTCTTAAGTTTGGTCTATAAATAATATATTGATAGGTATTGTCACTGTACATAAAAAATGCATAGCCTTCAATGCTGTCATTAAGACAATTATAAAATTAAGAGAAGAATATACAAGTCAAATTAGTATATGATTTTTTTTTACATTTACTTATTGGACTGCTAAGATAAGTGAAAAAAAATCAATAACTCTTTCATACATTTGTAATGTTGAGTGTTTGGGCAAAATGAACTTCGAAGTCAGATCACCTCTTATGATGTTTGATTAAAGTATTTATATTTCTAACATTTGGAAAAAATCCAACAGTACGTTTTTACATAATGAACCCTGGAAGATCCAGACAAGCCTCCACGTTTGTCTTTTACCATATGTATGGTATGTTCAGTGGGTAGTGTATTAGGACCTGTAGCACTCTTGCCAGGAGAAACATTTCCTCTCCTTAATGAGTGATGGCATAGTGGGGAGAGAGGGAGACCACAACATCAGCTGGGCACTGAATACAAACAGGATTGAATACATGGAGGAGGATAGATGTCTGGAAGAGGTAGGTTCAGAACAAAAGGGAACAAGCCAGGGAGACAGACATTTCAGGCAGAGCAGACAGTGTGTATCTATACAGTGGAGGTCATTGCAGCAAGGAACTGCTGTATATTGAGGAATACACAATACCAAAATGTGCCCTGCGCAGGGGGAGAATGGCTAGAGATGAGGCCCAAGGAAGTGGGACCAGACTGGGTCTTAAAGCACTTGCCGCTGCCGCCGCTAAGTCAGTCCAGTCGTGTCTGGCTCTTGCAACCCCACAGACGGCAGCCCACCAGGCTCCTCTGTCCCTGGGATTCTCCAGGCAAGAGTACTGGAGTGGGTGGCCATTTCCATCTCTAATGCATGCATGCATGCTAAGTTGCTTCAGTCATGTCCAACTCTGTGCGACCCTATGGACATAGCCCACCAGGCTCCTCCATCCACAGGATTCTCTAGGCAAGAAAACTGGAGTGGGCTGCCATTTCCTTCTCTACTTAAAGCGCTTAAGGACCATACAAACATGAAGTTGTTGGAATTTTATTATTGAAGTAATAGGGAGCAATTGAAAGATTTAGCAGAGAAGTTCCATGATTTAAATGATTTTTAAAAAATTATTCATTTGAGACTATACAGGATTAGGAAGGAGCAAGACTGGAGAAAAGAAGGCACTTAGGAAAACTTTGCAATATCTAGGCAAAGAATACATATATGTACTTGTAGGTATGGATGGATTCTTTCATAATGAAGGGAAATGTTTTCTCTTTGTAGTTGGCTTTTCTGTCTTTAAAAGACTAGAATGACTTTTATTAATAAGGTAGCAATTTTTACTTTCATGGAAATTCTGCATTCTACCTAGTTTGTATCAGGCCAGCTAGAGCTTATTTGAGTACAAGTTCTTGGGAGCCCAGAGTTTTGAGCTCTGATTTGCTATGTGTCAGTTCAAATCAAAAGAGATCTCTTCCAAAACTATTGATACCAAATGATCTTAAAGCCCAGAAGACCCAATGGAGGTATTTGTATATCTTCCAAGGGTTTGGGTACAGATGTAAGTAAAAACCATGGTTTAATTGAGCTGAAATTGAGAGCACTTTGACACTAAGTCAGAAGATGTGCAATTTAATTTATATGTTTGCATTTTCTTAAATTATACCCTCAAGTATGTCTCTTAAAGTAGTATTTGAAAAAGGAATTTTGTTTTAGGAAATATGTAATTGTTCTCTGAATTGCATCCCTTTGGAGGATGCTCAGACTTCAGTGTGTGCAAAGATTACATGGGACACTTTCATCTAGTAGGTCTGTGGTTAGGCCTAGGAATCTGTATTATAGCAGCAACTCAGAATATTTCACATGCTTTCTAAAACTTTGTTCCTTGAGAACAAAATTGTTCAGGGAGCAAAGTTGTGACCATAAAACTGAATTTACGATTCTTCTATGATATACACTTAAAATCTCTTGTTATCTTCTGAAAAAGTTTTCTTTGGGGAAGATAAGCAATATCCTTAAAAGTAACTTTGTTTTGTATATAATTACAGAGTTTAGATAAGTCATTCCATATGATCTTCACTTATAGGTCATGGAAGGAACTTTTTTTTTGTATTGTTACATTGTGTTATAAAACACTAAACATTTATCATATATAATGTTCTATAACTTGGATATATGAAATCTTTAATCTTTACTTATGCATATACTGATTGATACTCTTCAATTGTACTTATATAAAGTACAAATTCAACATTGTGGAGATAATGATTATGCAATTACATTCTTTACCCATTTTTAAACTTAATTATATTTCAAAAACTGAGTAATAAATTATGATCTAATGTTGAAAAATTACATTAATATTAAACATTATCCACATTACATATTTTTGTACATTATTTATCTTTATAAAATGTGATTTATGGGTAAGTTAATATGCCTATATGAAAGTTTGCATTTCTGAGAGTAAGAAAATAGAACTCTTTTAGTTTTAAAAGGAACTTTTTCATTTAAAAAAAGAGTTCCCAGGTTTCCATTCAAATATTCATAAGCATTTATACAATGATAAGGTAACTGTTCGGGACATTATTATTTACTAATTATTGGCTTCCTTTCTAAATACTGGAAAATATTTACTTAAAATTAAAGCATACTTCTGCTTTAAATTTTGGTAGAAAACATGTGGGTCTTGTGACCTCTCATTACTGCTATGACTTGATCTCGACTTAGGACACAAAGACTTTTTAATCAAAAAATGTGTTCTGGTGGGAGATAACTTTGCTTGGAGAAACGTTTTATGAAGTATTAGTTTAACCTATAAAAGAGAATCTTGCCTGGAGAATTCCATGGACAGAGGAGCCTGGCAGGCTACAGTCAGTGGGGTCTGAAAGAGTCAGACAGGACTGAGCGACTAACACTTTCACTTTCATAAAAGAGAAACTTCTTTTTTAAAAACCATTCATGAATCTAGAAAATGAGATTGTTCATTTCCTAGACTGGACGCTATGTCTGTGTGTACTTAGCAGTCCAGGTGTGGAGAATACGCATAAAAGACTAGCTTATTATAAGAGAGTTTGGTCAAATCAGAAAAAACTGAGGAGCCGTGGATTGTTTAGTTTCCTGGGATTCTGCAGGGTCGAGTTGGAGCTGTAAGGACAGTAGCTGATGAGTTAATCTTACCTTTTCTGTCTCTTACAGTCATCTCAACTCGGACTCCACCTCCACCCTCACCGTTGCCATTTCCAACACAAGCTATTCTTCCTCCAGCCCCATCAAGCTACTTCTCTCATCCAACAATCAGATATCCTCCCCACCTGAATCCTCAGGATACTCTGAAGAACTATGTACCTTCTTACGATCCATCCAGTCCGCAAACCAGCCAGGTAAAAATGAGAGAGAACATATGAGTAGAGCCTAAGGGTGATGGCACAGGTCTCACCCTGAGCCTGTGTGTCTGGCAGGACAGCACGCTTTTGAAATCCATCTTCAGAAAGTTTCTTGGTGACTCACTAAGTTTTTATTGAAAGGTGGCTGAATGACAGGTAGGAAGCTTGTTGCCCCAAAGGGGCACTTTTGTGAAGATGTCCTTGGTTTGATGTTTTAGGATTTCCATTGGATAAAGGGAAAATTAAGGCAGAAAGTCCATTGACAAAAATGTCCTGAGCTGGAGTTCACACCTCTGAAATACCTGGTTTGACACAAAGTGCTCATTTCAGGCAGGAGCAAAGTATGAGCTAAAATAAACACAGGCAAAAGACCTTACAGTTGTATTTATAGACCAACTATTAGGTATTAAAATAAGCTTTGGTAATGTAAACATTTTCAGTGTTTGATGACTACCTGAATATTCTTTGCTCAGACATGACTGTGTTTCATAATGAGTGACATTACCAGAAGTGTCTTTTTTTTTTTTTTTTTTAATGGTAAACTGTGCAGTGGCTTTAAGGATTCTTTGTATAAATGGCGTAGCTCTGTGCCTTCTTCACTTCCTTAATATATGATTTCTCCTATGGAGAGGTTGCATTGGGGATTTGGTACAAGAGGATTTTTCGTTATAAAGTAGACAGTGTACCAAACCTGGCCTATCAATCATCATAATATTGAAAATCTGTAATGTAATTTCAATCTTAGGGTTTGGTATTTGGCTTTGCTGTTTTACCTCCAAGATGCCTGTCTACTTCCAACCACCATTTTTAATGCTCTGAGGGATTTTCATAAGTGTTCTGTCATTAATGCTTTTCATTTACTAAAATGCCAGCAAATAGTATGTGCATATTAATTGAGACTTAAAAAAGAAAGATCTGAAAAAAAAAATCCCTTTGGTGTTAATTGTTAAAATGGAGCAAAATGGTCCCTTCTGAATTTTTTTTTAATAGCATATTCAGCACTGTTTTAGTTAGTTAAAATTAAATTACTTGTACTTGGACCTCCATTGACTAGTAATATTAAGTATACCATTCCTGAATTTTGAATTTAAAGTTAAATAATTTGTGTTTCAGAAGAAAATGTTCAAATGGTATAGCACTTTGAATGGCTATAATAATAATTATTAAGTAAAACAGGATTTTGGTATATCAATTTAGAAATAAAATTTGCTGTCAGAACATAGATGCAGAAGTCTCAGTTCCATAGAGCATTTTGCTAGAATCAGCTGGGAACAGTGCACACAGGGTCTGATTTTAATTTGTGTAGAATTTCCATGAATAACAAAGTCTAATTAAGACATCCATTAAAAGTCCTTAACGTTAATTCAGTGTGGAAAATCTTAGAGTTCCATTGGATTTTTTTTTTAACTGATGTCTTAATTAGGCACTGTTAGGGGAAAAATTATGCAAATTAAAATCAGGCCTTTAGTGTTCTGCTTTTCTTTAATTATTCATTGCTTGTTTTACGTATATTTCACTTTCTTTATAAGTTAAGGGGGCATATTAGGTGATAATCGGCCTATATTGTTCTCAGTTTTTCTTCATATTTTCAAGGTAAAGACCCAGCTTCTGAGAAGCATCTTACTCTCATCTCAATTAAAAAAAAAAATCCCTCTCAGGATTTTGTATAATAGGAGCAATGTACTAAGTAGGATAATCCTTTCCTAATGCTGTTCATCTGTCGATAAGATGTCTCTCTTTTCATATCTACAGTATGAAAGTTCATCTATTAACAACCTTAAAAGAGAAGCTTTATAATGTGGCTTCATCTGTTTGAACCAGTAGAAAACTGAAAAAGAAATAACCCTTCCATTCTTCTGACCCTGAGTTTCAGAAAAGTTGTCTGCTTTGGCTTGGGAATTCTTCCTTTGTCACTTTATTTTTTTTTTTCAAATGAAAGAAACATCTGTTTGTTGGTTTGTGTCAGTTCAATTCCAGTAGACGAAGCATGCAGGGTGGGAAAAGTAACATCATATTTGGTGGCAGCATTTTCTTGGCAATTTTTGTCATTTTTCTGTTCTGTGCCCTCAGGTAGGTACTGTCAAACTGTTTTGGTGAAGACAATATAGAGAAAGGCTTTTTACCATCGAATGTACCACCAATGATAAAACAAGATCACTCTTCTTTCTTGGAGAAGATATACAAAGCAAGTCTTTGGCAGTGATCACATAACCAGAAGTTGATGACCTGCTCTAGAAACAAATTGCTTTTTCACTTTGAAAGGAAAAAAGTAGACCTTTATTATAAATGGTGGAGTTGTTTTTGCAGCAGCATTATACCTGCTTTGATGTTTAACTCCAACTCAAAACCAGTTCATTTGCACTTACTTCCAAGTAGGACTCTTGATATTCACCCTTTTGGCTCTAAAAATGGGGGGCAGGCAGGAAACGAGTACTTGTTGACTTGTCAACAAGTTGACTGTTGACTGTTCCTTCCCAGTATCCTCCAAGGCTGTCCTGATTTTGCTTGTTAAGTCAAGCAACTCAGAAGCCTGGTCCTCCCAACGGCAATTTGGAGATTAATTGCATTGCTGCTGCACTGGGTAGAGTGAGACAGCCATGCTATTTAATGGAATATTTTAAATAAAATTAGTCTAAATATATAACTCTTTCCTAGGTTTTCACAGAGGGGAAAATCTGGTCAGTTTTTTAAATACTTAATTTATTCATGAGGAATAGTCAGGATATTCAAAAGTTCATTCTTTATAGAGTAAGTCATGTGGCCTCTGAGGCACCCAACCGAGATTTAGTTCATGTCTCTAAGTTCTGATAGTTAATGGTTCTCAGCTGTTCATCTTTTTCTTTAAAGGAGCATTGACTTGTAATTTATATGCAGGCATTTAGATAAATATTCTGCTATATTGCTTTCTTTGCCTCTAAAAGTGGTACAGATTATGAAGACTAAATATTTGTGGAGAATACCCTCATAGCAAGTTGTTATGTACATTATGTAGAGGAGAATTCCAACATGAATGTAATTAAGAATAGCATTCTGTCTAGAAAAATACATTCCAGTATTTCTTTCAAACAGTGTGCCCTTAGAATGGACACTATTTTTGTACTGGGGCTAAAACTTAGATAATAATATCTTTTCTATCATTGCCCAGGGATTTTCTCAGTTAATTCTCACAAATGTCAACAATCAATGTTTTATGTAATGCTCTAAGTCTGGCAATGGAAGAGTAAGAATTCAGAGATCAGAGTATATTTGATTGCCCTCTGCTTCACTTCAGCACATTTTAATTTACACTGGAAATCTTTTATTTATATGTGTATGGTCAGACCTAGTTCAGCTCTTTATATCATTATATAGACCATGAAATTTTAAAGGTTTTAAATATCTTTCTACCTATTTATATAAGTAAACCATCCCAAGTTGAGTGGAGCCCCTAGAATCACAATTGCTTGATGTGTGTGTATGAGTGCACCTGTGTGTAAGCAAGGGCTAAAATTTTTGTGTGCTGAAGAATGGGCCTTGACTATAAATGATGACAGTCGTTAAGTTCAGTGTGTTTGGTCTCCTAGAAATTCTTGTCTTTGTTGTCTCAATGATAGCATTATGCAGGTAAACCTTGTGTTCTGAGAGCCAAAATTGACTCATTGTAGCACATGAAGAGCAGGAAAGAAGGAAACACTGCTCCTAATTCTCACTAGCTCAGTGCTAAGCCTAAACTAGCTTACTAGCTTGGTGGTGTAGCCACTGAGTCATGTCTGACTCTTGAGACCCCATGGACTGTATCCCGGCAGATTGCTCTGTCAGTGGAATTTTCCAGCCAAGAATACTGAAGTGGGTTGCATTTCCTCCTCCAGGAAATCGCTAAGGACTTCTGTTTTAGCCTCAGGCTCAGCATCGAAGTCTCCACTTGAGTTTTCTGTCCTACACTACGGAAGGCTCAGTTCTGCCTGGTTCTCAGGGTGTTGTAGAAATGACCAAACCTATATGAGGTGCCTCGTAGCTGAAGACTTTCTTTTAAATGCTACTGCTGCTTCTTAGGACTACTAACCATTGATGAGCCTCTCAACTCAGATGTGAGAGGGCTTGTGTGGTGGTTACACACAGCGTGCAGGGCCCACTCAGTTGAGTGTGCTGAGTGGAGTTGTTGGACGAGATAACTGCCTTTTGGATTGTTTCACCGGGCATTCTGTTTTTGTTTTGTAGCCTAACAGCAGTGGTCAAGTGGTAGGGAAAGTGCCTGGCCATTTCACTCCTGTCTTGGCACCCTCTCCCCATCCCAGTGCAGTGCGACCTGTGACTCTGACCATGACAGATACTAAACCCATCACTACATCCACTGAAGGTGAGGCAGCTTCACCTACAGCAACCAGTAAGTATTTCTGTAGGAAATGAGAAATGTCCATCGAAGGCACCACTGGATATCTGATCCAAGGTGGAAAACACGGCAACTTTTCCAGCTACTCAACCAGATGGAGATTTCTCATTTATGTGGAACTAGCAGGCATGATGTGGCCTGGCTCTCATATGCTCTCTCTTATCAAATTTCACTCGGTATTTGAAAAGGGAGAAGCTTATTTGTTTGAGTAAATAGCTGTAACAAAAATAGTTAAGTCATGCCTGCTTGTTCAAGGTATACATTGAAAATGCACTAAATGACATAACAGTGTACAAGGTTTTTTATATCACCCACAGAGAGATTTGAGAAATGTTAGTTATTGGAGCGTTCCTGTAGAAGTCAAACCCCTTCACAAGGCAGGCTGAATCAGTACCTCTGTAAGATAATTGCATGTTTACATCACTGTAGGTTATGTCATTGTGAGAAACAGTCACACAGTGTTCAGTGTAGAAAGCATTTCAAAGCTTAGTTTTAGGCACATGTCAACTACCTGCACTTTCATTGTCTGCAACTTTTTTTTTTTTTGATTATTTACTCTTATCATGGTGCATCGGGTATTATGCTTTTTAGCATGGCCAGAACATCTGAAATGTCAGAGATGTAGCCGGGGAATTAGCAATAGCTCATACCAGTAACCCAAGCGATTCCTTTGCTTCTTTGTACAGAGTGCTCAGAAGTACACAAGAAATTATCGCAAAGCTTTTTAATTGGCTTCATCATCCAAGCTGCCAGCTTTCTAAAACTGGAGTTGATGTGCACAGACTGGTAATAAAGCGGAATGGATAAAGTTCTAGTCAGGAGGAATTAGCTTGCTTCTCTTCAGTTATTCTTATTTCTTAAATCCAGAGCTTCTATTTGCATTGTTAGAGCAGGAAAATCCCGATGTTGTGAAAATTCTGTGTGAAATTATAGAGATTCAGAGCCACTGGCTCTTTCTTTATTGGCCATTGGAAAGATGCTCTTTTTTGTGTGTGTGGCCCCTGAAAGACTTGGAAAGGACCTTACAAGAAAAGTGGGCAATACTTGGTGTGTACAGTGAATTCAGCATTTCTTTCGCAAAATTCATAAGGCCCCATAGACTAATAAAAACCAGATAAGCTTGTAATTCCCATTAATAATCATTAATCCTTAGTAATTGGTTTGTTGATAGAGGGACCTACACTAGTGAATACTTCCCTGAATGCACAGAAATGGATGAGACTCAGTCAAGGAAGATTAAGGATCCGTTAGTGCTACAGGTTAGCCATGTACATTACAGTTGCTAAAATACTACATCCAAATTTCAAAAGTGGATGCCTTGGTATCTTTAAGCAAACAAAGTCAGAAGTTTAAATAAAAGCAAATAGAAAACAAAGATTTTTTCTTAAGTAGCTAAAATTTCCAGAAGCTTCTGGTACCTACTCTTTTATTGTCATTAATAGATAAGATTCAAGGAAAAATCAAACTGAAATGATCACAGCTCACTTCTGGGAATACTGTCAGCCTGTTGGTTAATGAACTGTTTCTTTTACTCACAGGTTGATCAAAAAGGGATCTGATTTGATTTATAAAATCATAAAATAGTCAAAAGGAGTATCTTGGTTATATAAAGATAGCTTCATCAGTCCATTTTCCATCCTGCATAAAAGTGATATAGTGAGCTGTTTTTCTTTCCTATAAACAAAATTGTAGCTGCAACTCTGCAGGCACCACTGATAATGAAAAATTGGCCATTGAATTCATAAGTCAATAAAATTAAAGAAAATACAGAGGCCAAGGAAACCTCTTTTTTACGGTTGAAAAGAAAGAATAAGACACACTTGGTGCCCACTCTGTAAGGGTGAGGCTCTTCAGTGCTGTGCATTGAATTCCAGAGATCTGGAGATTGAATGGGGGCCACTGGCTGTTTATGGCTGCCATTGCGTGAGTAGTTCATTCAGGAATAAATAAAAGATGAATTGTGAGCATCTTCACTGTTTTAAAAAGCTGACTTAAAAAAGCTTCACTGGATCAAATCAACATGGCAGAATTAATGTATTGGTTTTTAAAAAGCCTTTTGAAAATTATTGTCTGGATTCCTCATCAATCTGGAGGTTTTGAACCATGTACTTCAGCTTTCTTCAGACCTAAAAATGTAACATAAATGATAACAATTTAGTTTTCCTGTTTATTCTGACATGGAACAATGGGGTTGCTTAGTGCTTGGAAGATGCATCAGTCCTTTCCTTGTGAAAAGAAGCAAAAGTCTTTAGGACTAGGGAGATATTTTCTTTGGGAAATTCACTCTGCACCAAAAAGTACCTAAATGAAAAGTACTTGCAAGGTGAGACCATAATAATTTAAGGAATATTCACCTTACGAACTTACTACCTGGTGGCGAAGTAGTTAAAAGGGGCTGTCAGCTCCATTCTTGGATCAGTCACAAAAGATTGACTTTTTGTACTTCTGGAAAAGAAACCATTTTTTTCAGAAACATGTTCTCTCAAATATAATAAAAATTCTCCTTCATGTTAATAGTATTAACTTTTCTTTTTAGTAAGACTTTTCAGTAAGACATTTTTCATCCTGCATCATCAAGTACATCTGCTTAAATTCCATCATTTAAAGCTTTCAATTTTTCCTGACAGACTTTCAGTCTGATTTTACATTTAGAATCACAGACCATCATTGATTATTCTGTTGCTAGACACCCAATATCTAGTAAAAAGTTACATCTAGGAAAAAGACTCTACTACTTAGCCAGTCTTTGGTACTCCTGCAAGACTGTAACTAGAGCTTGTATGAGATGACCACATCAAAGGATAGGATATGGTTCCTGGATAGATTTGGAGGAGAAGGATAAACCAGTTGACTTGAGGTCAACTATCATTTCTATCACTTGGTATTCACTCACACAAAAGAGAAGAGGAATAGAGATACACTTTTTTTTTTTGGTTTTAAGTCCCACTTCTCTGGGTTTCTTTTACGTGGACAAGGTATTCATTTGATAGTTCACAATTTTTATCTTTGTTTTTGTTCTTCCTTAATCAGCCTACACAGCCTCAGGCACATCTCAAGCCAATCGATATGTGGGACTAAGCCCAAGAGACCCATCCTTCCTACATCAGCAACAGGTGGGCAAGCTTCACCCAGGTGTGATGGTGTAGCCACGCTTTTGCATTGGTGCTTTTCTCCATGCTGTCTCTCAGATCTGGACTCAGAATGGGGCTCACGGGACTTCTGAGAAAGAAACTGATCATTTCATTTTCCAAACTATTTTCTCATTTATCTTTTGTTTCTTGTCTCTTTAAGCAGGTTTTCTCAAATTGGCTCAAGACCTTTTCCCTCTCTGTAGCATATATCCATAACATCCATGAAAACAGTGTTTCAGCTAGAATATTTTTCTGTCTTATTGGCTATTGAGAACTTACCAGCAGCCTATAACTTTCCAAGATGAAAATTGCCAAGTATTTAAAAGGCCATTAGAGTAGAAACACAACACAATTCACAATTTGTGTTTTCTTTTTCTGTTTTTGAACACTTTCATGTTTCTAGTTGTTTTACTCCTCATTTTGTTTTTTTGGTTCAAGAAGATGAATTATGAAGCTGAAATCTCAGGCGACGCATCCTTCCTATTTTAATAGGTTTAAATTGGTTTACTGATTTCAGATGTGATAAAACACTTTTTTTTGGTTCTGCTTTCGTACATCATTTATGTTTCAAGTAGCATTTTAAATTTCACATCTCATTAATGCTGTAAATTTAATGCAAATGAAGTGTTTATCCAAACTGTGAAAATATACAGTCAGGATTAATGGTAGTTTATAAACAAATTAGCCATAGTCAAAAGCATGGACCATACAAATAAAAATATCCCATGATTCCAGTTACAGGATGACAGAAATAATTCTAAACACTTCCAAATTTAAATGTATTTTATGATGCATATGTTTTGCTGCTCTCAAGTTTTGATAGCAGAGCAGTTTGAAATTAACTGCAAAATATTACTTAGGGAAAAATAGTCTATAATGAATCAGAAAGAGTTGGTATTAATGAGCTTACTCTTAATTTATAATATGCATTGTATGTGCATCTGAATTTTTACAGATGTAACAAGCCTGTACAGGTACTCATGTCAGCTTCTTTTGTTCTAGACCTGTCCACCTAGTTTATGCTTAATCATGCATATCTGTCCCTCGCATGGAATTTTCAAATCCTGCCCAGTTGCAGGCGAAGGTGGCAAACTGCTTATATTAAAGGTCACCACATGCAGAGTTCAGAGAAAATCATAAAGATGATAGCTTATTCAAGATACTTGACGTTTTGCCAGGTTTAAAAAAAGCAAAACAAAACAAAAGAGTGAGAACTAACTAAAAACATCTGTACACAGTTTTGAAAATACCAAATAATAATTAGTGGTTTTGCCAGCTATAGGCTTTTCAACATAATTTTCTGAAATGTTGCTTTTTTTCACCTCTAAAATTGCTATAATATGAAATGTGCTATAATTACTGGAATATGGTTCTGTTTGAAAAATGTGTATGTTCCTTGTGTTTTTTAAAAAAACTATGCAGTATTTATAGGTTTAGAAACTTATTCTCTTACAAATCATTCCACATATTATCAGAGATATTCTTATCATGGGATTTGCATTCTTTATGACACATCTCTAGTTTTCAGTTAACTTTTAATTCATAGAATCATGCCTCTGTTATTTAAACCTTTAGCCCCAGACACATTTAGAACATGATAACCACTTTCATGTATTTAGAAGAAATCGTCCCATCCTCCTGTCCTAGCTTAAGGCAACGTTAATTTTTTAATGTACCACTTGTAACTATCATTAGAGCCTCATGTAATTATGATCACAACAGTTGATTGTATAAAAGTTACTTCTCTTTCCACATGTCCAAGGATAAATCAAGAAAATTTTACAAGCATCAGGAGAATGTTAGTCAATGTAGATAGAGTTCTGAGCACATAAACTGAAATATGTATGAGTTCCAGAACTACAGGCTTTTTTCATCAAAGGCCACCAATTGTTATTTAAGTTGACAATGTCAAGTGAAGACCTCTTACAATATAAATATGATTTGATTGGTCAAATGCAATATATATTTATAGAATATGTAATGTGTATTGATCTTTAAAAGAAAAATTATATGTTTCATAATGAAAAATACAGTGTTCAATTTTAAATACCATACAAACAGATGATTTGTCCTTTGTATAATGAAAGAATTGGTGCTACTTTTTTGAACTGAAAGAGCATGATATGCTAATTCATAATAAGCTACAATTTGAGACAAGCAGAAAGTGAGTATATATGCATATCTTACTGTACATGTATATTACTAAACTAAGGCTCTAGTTAAAAGATTTCATTTAGTTTAATCCTTCCAAATTTTAAAAGAATCCTAGAGATGAAATTTTATGTTTACTGTCCAGGAACAGAGGGACAGAAATGGTTTAAATGACTTCAGTAGAGTAAAGGTTATTCTTTCCTACAGCAGAAATGAGATTGATTTACTGTGTCCTTTCATTACTTTCCAAAGATTTAAAAGAGACCACTCTTCTAGCAGCAGGTTTTAAATGCATTTGGTTTAAAGTACTCAGTGATGAATGAAAAGAAAAATCAAGGGGTACATGAAATAAAGGTAATCAATCATTTTATATTAGCTAGGAGAAATTCAAAATTAGAAAGGCAATGGTTTTAGTCTGAGAGAGTTCTTTTAAACATACCCCTTAGCTTTTAATATACATGACCCCTTAAGAATAAATATTGTCACCAGGTACATTCTTCAGTTTATTGGCGACTGTTTTATAAAGATTTATTCTGTTAGGTTATGAAAAGTATTGATGTGCATTGTCAAGTGCTATTTTTTTCTTAGAAAAGAACTTTAATATAGCCTATATAAATTAGAGTTAGCAATAAATTTAAAATTGTTGAATAATTTTGACTATCTTATAAATAATCTTTCCACACAATGACACTAAAGTAGAGCTTTCAGTGTAGTTATTCCTAACCTACAAGGACACTGGCTTCTTAAATTGAATGAAAATATTAAAATTAACCCTGTACTTCACTGGTAAGAGTAATATGTTCATTTTGGCAGATCTGAATACTAAAAGCATATGCTTTTATAACCATTAACTTGGTAAACATGCAATTGTTATTAGTAATTATACATCTCTATGCTCCTTTTTATAATGATTATTACTGATCAATACTGGTTGCTAACTGCTTTGAAATAGTTTCTTCTGACATAGGAATTTCACTGCTATTATAAATGTGTTATCTCATTTGAATCTGAAAAATAAAATCACACAGTCATAAAGAATACTTCAAAAATATTTCTTTAAACCAGCTGAGTATTTTCAATTAAAAACAGCCCTCTGGTTAGTTTTAATCATCAGCTCATGCCAGCTGATCAGAACTTTGAAATTTTCCTCTATCTCTTAACTCAATCTTGAGTGTTGTTCAAGGTCTGGAACCAGACTCTCTTTGGGATGATTGACTTATTTAATGCATTCACTATTGGCATGGGGGAAATCTTAAAATCAGAACTTCAACTGGAACTTCATTTTTCCTTAATTTTCTGTTGGAAGATGGTGTCATGGCTTGAAGAACTCATGGGTCTCTGGTAAACTGAACTCTTTAGTCTTTGCTGAAAAATATCTTTTTACCTTTTCAGAAGTGTCAGGGGCCTCTTCTCTGGCTTAATTTCATAGAAGTTTAGTAAAATGTCGTGTTTCCTTTCTGCCTTATATTTCCTGAATGCACTGTGCACATTCATTATAGGTAATGAAGAAACTACATTTCCCAAGTTTCATCTCCCTAGGAAAATGGGAATTACATAGCAGAGTGTTGGATATTGCTTAGAAAATACAGAAATTATTGTATTATTGTATAAATCTAGTCTAGCAGTTTTAGTATAAACAGTAAGTATGAGACCACTTCCTTGAATTAGCACCACTTCCTAATCTGATCAGCCTCATAATGAACTTGCTATTTTGCAGGTCTTTTTTCTTTGTTATCCTAGAAAGTTTGGTAATGTAAAAGAATCAGTTAATTTGGTGATCATTGTTATACTTGAGTGTGAGGTCATTATAAAAGTTTAAATCCTTACTATTATACATCAATACAACATATTTAAAAAACCCTTATTGCAGGTTGGAAATAAAAGTTTTAGCTAAGAAGCTTCTTGTTTGGAAATAAAAGATTACTATTGGAACCAGCTACTAGAGTACAAAATAACCTTTGATATAGATTTGAGATGGAGCAAATGGAAGGTCACTTTTACCTTCCCTGAAACAGCAAATTCAAGTGAGCTCTAGTTTATAAGATACAAGGCTTATTTTCATATCTCAAAACTATAATCTCCTCACTATATATGCTACTTACTATTAGAACTTATTAATAATGTTACTTATTAATGAATCAGTGGCCTAATCAGCTCAAGTCCTTGCATTACTTCTTAGTTGCATGGATTTTATTGGTGCCCTGGCTTCCGCATGTTACATCTCTTGCATGGCTATATGATGCTCTTATTTCAGTTTCAATCACTGGACTACTTCCTATCAAGATATTTTCAACACTTTTCTTGATCTAATTGTGAAACTAGAATTTGAAAAGACTTCTTGTTACACTGAAAATTTCTGTCTAATGGCCTTTTTAAGACATTGCCTCTGTAGGATTTTTTTTTATTTATCTAAGATATTCATTGAAATCTCTTTATAATATTTGTCCTGACAAATGGCATAGCCAAAGCTAGGTACATGAAAACCACTGGCAATGTAGTCTTTCATTAAAGGCAAGCAATTGAAAGGCCACAAGTGGACTATCAACAAACTTTTCAATAAAGTCAGGAAGCAGGCTATCAACACTTGGGCTGTTCTTATTGTGTCTGTTATCATAATTGACAGCTTGACGTAAAACCCTATCACATGACTTCTGGGTAGGTATGTAAATGGATAAGAGGTCACTTTTCACATATGCTAGCTGGAAAGGAAACACATTTAGAGGAAGTTTCACTCACAATAATGACTATGCAAATGTTTAGCTTTTTGGCTAGTTCTTAAATTAAAAAAAAAAAGAAACCTTCCAAGGTCTGTTTTTATAATTCATTGATTCATTCACTTACTGGTTATGAAATGTTAATATCCAAATAAATTATTCTAGCATAAAAATAAAATTATGTTTACTGTAATCTTAAATTTCAATCAACACAATCACAAAGGGAAAATTGTCTTTTCTGAAAATTTTAACTTTTTAAGTAGAATCAGGAAAAAAAGGAAATTATAAAGCTTTATAATTATAGACATTTTAGCCTTAAACATTTTTGAGCTGTACATGAAAAACAGTGTAGGAAGAGAACAATGACAAGCAAACCGGTATGGTGGGTGAGAAAGGGATTAGGAGTCAGGAGTTGTGGTTTTAGTGTTGACATGACAGGACATGTCCAGCCTTGGACAAGCCTTGAACCTCTGTCCTGTGTTCTTATCTTGGAAAGAGAAAATGAAGAGGTTGAACTATGGGATCTCAAGTTCCCTTGAAACCTTAAATTTTACAGGTGAAAGTAGCCTCCATTTAAAAATAAAAAAACTTTTCATTTTCTAGTTCTTACAATTTATTATCAGTAGTGCTTATTTAGCTCATGAATTAGGCATACACATTTAACTTAATTCTACTGTATTTATTAAATATTCAAGAAGCACAGGCTTCAGAAAGTAATATTAGAAGTGACTTTAAGGTACCAGGATGACCTGGAATATCTTTTTTCATTTTTATATGTTTATAAGTTCCACCTATATCACAATTTTATCTTGACCATTTTGCTTGCTCACTAAGGCTATATCCTTTTTCTTCAGAGTCATTTTATCTACTCTCTGGGAGATAATATATAAAATAAAAATCAGTGTAAGAGTTTTGAAAGTATGGAAAGTGGAAAGTATGAATCCTCAAGGATTAATATTTTTAAGCACTCCACCCCAAAAGCACCTTCACTCACCAAAAGTCTATTTCTTTTTCTTTTTCTGGGGCTATCCGGAAAAATGAAGAAACCTAAAAGAACATAAAACACACCTTTCAAGTTACTCCCTTGAGGGTCCCTGTAAGGCTGGAAAATAAAAAGCAAAAAGATAAATTTGCCTGTGTTGATTATTCTATTTACAGTTTAATGGTTTACTGGTTCAACTGAGAACTGTTGTCATCATAAGGGACTGTTAGTACATGGGCCTATTTGCTGAGTCCAGCGATGTAGAACGTTTTCTTACCTTCTTTCTTTTGTTCCCAAAGCTAATTGCGAGGCATTTACAAAAGCCCCTGTTAATAACAATGGAGCGCCTTCTTGTGAGTAAACAGACTCTTACTCTGAAATCACAGGCAATGTTGATTCTACCTACATGAATATCTTGAGTGCTCTGTAGGCTAGGACAAGATCCAGATCTTAGGTGTTTCCCCTTAGGTGGATTTTTTTTGAAGGAAGCTAGATGATCCCCATCCTTGTTTTTCTGAAAATCATTTGAGTTAGACTTAGAGTAGGTTCTCATTCCAGGGAACTTCATCCTAAGAACATCTGCAGTGAACTTTACCTTGCCTTCTTTTTAAGTTGTTTGGACTTTTTCAGCCCCATCCCTTCAGTCATAGCTTTTTTAAAGGAGAATATTAACTTCTTTACCTCACCTTCTGTTTTCTTTTGGAAATCTGGGCATAATTGTGTTAATATAAAATTTTTCTTAATTTTCTAAACAATTTCATGTTTGTGAGTATATATAAATTAAAGAATTTAAATTTAATCTGTGTATTTATGTAAGAATATGCATGCAATCAAATCTGTCAAAGGGTCTATATTGTTACAAATGTAAGAGTTGCTACAAATGTACAACTTCAACTAAATTTCAAGTATCTACCTATTTTTTGAGGAAAAATTCTTGGAAAAATCACTAGGGTATTATTGAAGCTTTGCAGAAAAAATGTATGTTAATGAAAGGCATATATTTATGTACCACTTAAAATTTTTAATTTAATTAAAAAGTAATTGATAGCTAAATTACATAACACCAACTCTCTCACAGAACAGAAATTGAGGACTCACCACCCTAAATTCAAATAGGATTATTTCCTATCATTTTAAACATTTAAAGCCTAATATAAAATCCATTTTGGTTAGGAATTCTGAATCATACTAGCACCAAGAATATTTAACTTCTTCCAAAAAGAAGCTTAAATACACTTAATATTAACTTTTCATCACCTGAGGATCTGTTCAAAATTTGCTGAGTCAGAACTATCTTATTCAAACAAGATTCTTAGAAACTGATTTTATTAGGAATTAGTGTCATGGAAATTTTCAGTGAATATGCAGTTTCTATTTTAATTATTTTGCTCAATCATGAGGTTTATTAAATATTAATTGAAAGATGCTATCTGCAAAAGGAAGTTAATAAAAGAAAAAAAATGAAGAGACAGGCTCTTCATTAAGTTACCTGGCTTAAGTAGGTTATAACATATAAGCAGGTATAAATATTTCTCCTCAGAAATTTTTGGAAATGTTGATAATGCCAGCCCACAATCTAAATAGCTAAATAAATTTAAATTATATTTTATATTTTCAGTACCTGAAGGGAAATCAATACTAATTAATATCCTGCCCATTTCTTTGGCATTTAGGTTATTATTAAATATGTTCAGTGATTGTTTTTTGTTTATTTATGCATAATTGTCTGTTTGGAAGAAGATATTTTGATCTCATGTACCTTAAATATGGTTGAAAATGAAGAGCTGTAGTGAGGTTTAATCCCTTTGAGACTACTGCTGGGAAAGAAACATCTAAGACTATGTTGATTTTAAGTGTTCAACAGGTGGCCAAAGATAGCCTACTGGACATTTTGCAGGGATAATAAACAGAAGCAAGCAAAAAACTAGCAACATGAACAGCAAAAAAACTGATTTACATATGCATTCTTCCAAGGAGACAGTAGTGTTCCCGGTTGTCTGAGAACAAACCAACCAGTGAGGGATACTTAGGTTCACTTGGCTCTGTGAAGCTAGCTTCTCGTTCTGAAATTTTTTCCAGTGTAATCTGAGAGGCTCATAGAAACCAACCTGAAATTAATTATTAGCAGAATTATGTAATTCTAAATATACCCCTCCCTTCTTCAGAATATCTAACCGACTCAAAATTAGGACTAGAGCAGAATCTATGAGTGGTCCTTAAGATAATTGTTATACAAAGCCAAAGGCCTTCAACTGTTTTAGTTTTCCTAGTATTGCTTGAGAAGAATGCACTTTGAAGGAGGCAACTGACTCTTACTGAAAAAAATTTTTTTTTCAAATTGCCTGATTACATTGCATTTCTGATTAAATGCTCCATGTTGAGAACTTTTAAAACATCTTGTCATAAAATTTTGTTCTGTTTGATTTTAAATGAATCAAGTATACATTTTCTCCTTTATGCAGGCATTAAGATCCATTTTAAGAATATTTTTCATTATAATTTAATTTCTTTACTGATTTATGGCATATTTATGGAATGTATGCTAAGCAAATTTTACATATCTTTTAACTGTCTACATTAAGTAAACTATTTCAGCTTTTTAACTAATTAATTATTTAGTTGATTAATTAAAGTTCTTTAATGTATATAATTACTTTTACCTGAAGTCTCAGTATAATTAAAATGCATGTTTGGGGAATTTTAGATGGTATATTTGAGCCTCAGGGAGCTGTAGAAGAATAAGCAAAACCAAATATTCTCAAACTGCAGAATCACTGATAGTATGTAGAAACTAGTCTTAAAGAGAAAGGTTCTTAATAGCCATTTTTTTTAAGCCATACTGTTATCAGAAAGGATTAAAGTAACTTATCATAAGTTTAAAGGGACTTTGGCTCCAATCATCATCTTCTAGAAATTCTTACAGAAAAGCAGCATGCCAGGTTTAGTGGATTGCTGCGAATAAGTCCTCTTTTCAGTGCGAGATTCAGTTAATTTACAGCATAGCTATCTACAGATTAAAAACCATGATTTTCCAGTGTTTTTGTTCCCCCCCAAGCCAGATAAGTTTACTTTCTTAAGCATAAAAATAAGCAATATATCTTTTCAATAAATCTGCTAGCGCTGTAGGGCAGCTGTTAACCAAACAGAGTTGGATAGGGTTACTGGAACAACCTCTGAAGGGCAGAGCTGATGATTTGGAGAGCTGGGAAGAATTTGTTTCAGCTAGTATTCAGTGCATTCCTCACTCTATTCAAATGTGGTAAAGGATTTCCAATGCCACTACTCTGAGTTTAAAATAAAGTAGAAACTAAATAAAGTATCAACTCTTTATGGAAAAAAAACGCCAGTTTGAGTAAAATTAGTAAATATCTAAAACTGAATCCCTTGATGCTTCTAAACATAACTTAGGGGAAATGTTTATAAAGTGGGGCCTTTCTCCTCTCAACTGCATGTCTTCTGTGTTTTGCAAACTGCATGCTTAAAGTTATTGATTATATTTTACTCAGTGCAGATGATTTGGTATGTTATGTATTTTTAAAAGCTTAAAAATTTTTTTCTAAGATATATCTCTCTCTATTGAACATTAACGTTTGCTTTTATTTCAGCTCATTTTGTAATCTAATTAATGTCTAATTGTTATGTTCTAAGCACTCATTTCTCTTGTATGCTTTAATTAATAGAGAAGCATATTGCAATAGCTTTTTCTGAAATATATTCTAGGAATTTTGCTTTTCAGAGTAAGGTTTTCTTTGCTTTTTTTTTTTTTTAAGTTGCCTCTTGGGAAAATAAGGTTAATGCCATGTACAGTACTAGTTTGCATGTGTTCATTTAAATACTAAAAACTGTAGTACTGCTCGATCCATATCTGACTGCTAGGTTTCAATTGACAGCTGAGGATTTGTGACTGGACCATGAATCAAAACGGCAGGCATTTATACCCCAGTACCAGTGAGGATACATTGGGAATTACTTGGCAAAGGTAACATTTTAATTATTTCCAACCCTACACTTACACCTAAAAATTACATGAGCTACAGTGTTTGTTTCTAACTAGCCTTACAGAAAGTATATGTTAAAATTTTAGTTGTTTTAGCTATACCATTCCTCTTTCCCTACCCTCTTCTTCCTTATTTCTTATTGAGATATAACTTCAAATTAATAGGAGACTAGAGCAAATAGTAATTAATGATTGGAATTTCTGAGTGCTGTCAGATGTTGTCAACAGTTTATAATATTGGTGAGGGTGGGGCAGGGAGGGTGAGGAGGTTATTTGACACTTAGATTTAGGACCTGAAAATGGAAATCGTAGTTTTAGGGAAGACTTTTCAGCTATCTGAGGGTAAAATATTGGCTTTTCCCATTATAGATTTTTCTCATTTCAGCTCTTTACTGTTAACTTTAAGTCATTTTAGACTCATTCACTCCTTTCTCAAAGGAGGAAAGATAAAATAAAATGTTCAGATTAGTCAATTTAACTGTTTATTAGCAACACTCATGAATTTTGGTGTGTGTGTGGGGGGGTGGGGGGTTGTTGGAATCAACAGCTAGAGAAGGAATTTTGTTTAAAAAAAAATTTAACTTCTGTTTGTAAAGCCTTGATGTGAATCACTGAGAATTGATTTGGTTGGCTGAGAAGATCACTCTAAAATTTCATTTTTGAAAGTAGTTTTGATAGTGTCTCACTTATTGGTTTTAGAAAGTAGGTAGTGCTAATTCAACTTCTTATGAATTATTTCAGTAAAGAACAAATTGTGTCAAACTGACAAATTAAATGATTAAAATTCATGATATAATCATATGTAATGAGATAAAAATTTACAGAAGACTGAGATAATCCCATAAGGAGTTTAACAGAAGTAGAGCCAACATGATTTTCCATCTCCTCTCTGATTGTCATCCTCTCTTTACTGAGCATCCTAATGTTAAAAGTACGTGCTCTAGTATTAGTTGTAAAAGGCCTGCTCATCTTCATATGCATGATAACGAAAAAAGAATAGAGTTTCAAAGAATGAAATTAATAAAATTTCCACTTTTAACTCAGGTAAAATTTAAGAAAATTCGTTAGATTCTGTTTTAAAAGCTTGTTGACTTTTTAAAATTCACTGTCTGAAATGAATGCCATATGACTTTTCCTCTTTTTAGAGACTAGTATAGCATCCACTTTAAAATGTATAAATTTTTACCTTTTTGATTTTTTCCATGAAGCTTATATTATTCAACCATTTGGAAAAAATACAATGTATACTTAGAAAGAAAAGATAAACTCAGTGAAAGAAGATAAACTATTTATTTATTTAAAAAGTCTTTGTTAGTAAGTATTTTAAAAGTTGATTTGACTTGGTAACACAGTGTTTGGATATAATTTTATTTATCCTTACATTCCATGTTCTGTTGGTTGGCTAAATGGCCCATTTCTACATATAATCCTTACTGTATTTAGAAAAAAATTGCAAGTTAGATGGCAAGTGCTTGTGTTTTTTAATGTGGATGTAGCTGTGTGAATTTCCAAATCTGTGGGTTACTGACTGACATTTACTTATCTAAAACAGGGTAGTATTGCTAAAGTGCATTAAAGTGAAATGAGGGTATAAATTGCTGGAGACAAAATGTAACTGCACCTAGTTCCTAGTAATGTTTCAACTCAAAAATTGATGTTCCCAAAAAGAAAAGGTGAGTGGACAATGAATCATCCCAGAACACAGGGACTGAAGTGAATTAGTGTGATGACTAAACTCATTTCTTAAGAGAACTTTGTTCATCTTACACATCACCTTCTTGGTGAAAAGTTGGTATGGTCATCAGCTTCAGGTCATAATCACTTAAGGAAAAAATCAATTCATTTAAGTGAAAATTTTATTTTTTGTCCCCAAAATAATTTTTGGGGATTGGTAGATAATGATACGTAGAATGGCCTTAATGCTTCAAAAAGCTTGACAAAGGTAGTTGGCTTTCTTCCCTTTTTATCATGATTCAGAGGGCACATAATTGATAACAGCAGGTGAAACGTTCATACATTCAACAGGTATTTATTGAAACTCTGTGGTGGGCAGTCCCAGGCACTGCATGACTAATACACACCCTCACCATTCTTAAAATAAAAGTATCCTACAGTTCATAATAAATGAACTCAAAGGAGACAGCAGCTTGCTTTGCTTTGTTATATTTATCCAAAATAAGAACAAGTAGAGTCTGTATTTGATCATACAATAGGCCATGTCTGTGGCACAACATATGCATAATTTATGCATGGTTTATAATATGTGTCTTGCAGTTATTTATGAAACATAATAGTTTTTTTTCTGAAAAAAGATATCAAAAAAGAAATCAGAAATGTCTGTAACGCTATTACTTTTAAAGTTAATAACAGACATCTGAAATCTTCAGACCATTGCTACAACTTTCGAGGGATCTGAATAAATTAAATCATTTGCCTCTGTCCTAATGGAATAAAGAGAATATCAGGTTGTTTTTGTGGTGGCCCCCTGGAGACTTTGCAGTAGCAGAGGACAAGGCAAAGAAAGTGTTTGGTTTTACTTTGATTGCTGTTCGCTGCCATTGCCTTCTTGGTAAAATCACTGTCCATGGTCGCCTTTGTGCCCGTCCTTCTGTAGAGGCGTTTCCATGTCAAAGGCAGTTTCTTCCTTGGGACTGAAAATGGCAGTGCCCAGGGAGCTATGCGAGTATATGTCAAAGCTGGAAGATTTCCTCCATCCTCATCCTAGTCCCAATGTATAAACATTCCCTTCAGAACTGAAGCTGACTCCTTTGGAAAGTTTGCACAGACTTATTAAGTTGCAACCCTGAAGGTGTTTTGTTGTTTTGACCTTAGAATTTTGAGAGCTGTGTGTGTGTGTGTGTATGTGTGTGTGTGTGTTGCTTGCATCTTGAAAATGTGACTTTTTTTTCCTAACCCAAAGGTCAGGTACTGCAGTTAACCCAGAGTGAAATGCCTTGGCGGAGTGCTCACTTCTGCGTGAGTCCGGAGAGGCTCAGCTCTTAGCAGGGTAATAGGTGATGAGTTGCTTATGCTGTTCATGAGAGTACTGTTGTGTCTGTGCTTTGTCCTCTGATGTGGACAAATTACACTGTTACATCTGTGAGTTATGTGGGTATAAACAAATACAGCAGTTAACTCCCTAACTGGCTTGCTTTCTTGAAGCTATAGCCAGAACATAGCTTGTACTATCAAATATGAAAGAGCAATATATTTGAATGAACAAGAAAGCCACAGGACAATCCAAGAATAATATAAACAGAAGTTATTTTAAAACATTGGAAGGAGTGCTTTATGCAAAAGAGAAACTGGATTTATTGTTTCAGTCCCTCTTTTCCCCCTTCACCTCTTTCAAGAAAAGGCAAAGCCACAGTGAGTGGCTGTATGTGTCTGATGGCTTCTATAAACATAGCAGCAGCCTTCAGATGGCTAAAATAAACATGTGCGTGTTACTGAAGGATATGTTTACACAAACCATTTGCTCAGCCTCTGAAATAATGAATAAATGAAGATTTTACTGAAATAATTGGAGGGATTTTTGTGTTTCTGCTGATGCCATAATTGAATGGCACCGAAGAGACTTTTATCAGCTATTTTCCATGTTACACGTGTTAGCAGTTCCTTTCTATGAGTTGAATACTTCATTCTGTAGTGACTTTACACATGTTTTTGTAAGAAATTGTCGTTTATTACTGCAATTCTAGAGAGTTGCTTGATTTCCCAGGAGAAACTTAGCAGCCAGTAAAGATTATTTGGATCTGATTGGTCAGGAGGAGGAGGGCAAAAAGGAAGGAATAATAGCATTCATTTCATACATTTAAGTCTATTTGCAAAACCCTGTCCTCAAACTTGTACCATTTTTATTGCTTCATCCTTTAAACTTTTCTTTGTAAAATATGTCCTCAATGACCTAAGAATGAATATTTAAACAAAATAATTTTCACTATTGAGTTGCAAATTATGTTTGTATTGAAAATATACATATGTGTATAACATGTATGCATATATGGTGTGTATGTACATACACATGTATGCATGGGTATGTGCATGCATGTATGTGTGTATACATGTGGCATGTACAAACATATGGCATGTGTATGATGCGGGTGATGTGTGTACTGGCTTTAACACCAAAAACATTTTGGTGTATTGGGAAGTAGCTAATTAACAATATTGTGAGCAGTTTCAGGTACAGTGAAGGGACTTAACGATAGGTATACATGTATCCATTCTCCCCCAAACCCCTGTCCTGGCTTTAGGTAATGTTAAGAGTTAACTTGTATTTCCACATTAGACGGAGACCATCCCTACAAATTCACCAGCTTAGCATTTCCTGCTTTCAGTTTGTTATCTTGACACATAACTACAGTATAACAGCTGGGTTGTTCCTGGAGTTCCTGGGGGGAGCTTTATTCTCAGAGTGCTGAATTTCCTTTTCAGCTGTCAGCTCTAACGTGTATTCAAAATGTTCGACTTTTTACACATCATTCTGGGTCCCTAGCGCCACTCTGGGACTATGATAGAAATGCTGATAAGGAGGTGGCTGAATGGGAGAATCCGGTTCAAGGAGGGGAATTTGCAAAAGCCAAAATTGTACATGACCATTGTTTGGGAACTAGAGCTGCTAACTACTGTTGCTCTTTGTATTTGGATATTCTATTTAAAAGAATTACTACTCCGTTTTCATGAATATTATTTGCACCTGTTATGAACCCAAAAATTAAAGTGTGAGCATTCTTAAAAATAGTCTTGATCTGGTGTTTATACACACACAGTTATCTGTAATCTGGCTGTTGAAAAATGCTTTGGGGATTTGTTGCAGTTTTGCCTAACTTTCTCCATTTGTAAAGAAAGATTTGCACAACACAACGTTTCCTTTTTATCTAGGAAACTCTTCAGAAGACTTCCTAAGAAATTAATTGTATTCCAGCCAGACTTGCATGCTGCCATCCCACAGGAAATGGGTCAGCAATCCATTAAGATGC